AAAAAAAAAAAAAAAAAAAAAAAAAAAAAAAAACGAGCAACTCACGTGTGATATTAATACAGGATTCGTCGATTCTAATTTATATTCTATTTCATCCATTGTATAAAAGAAATGTTCCAAAGATTGTTCGATATATTAATTATTATATAGCCCAGTCAGTGTTGTAGTACCAGTAGCACTTCGACGTAATTGAAATTCGTGTCATGAGCACATCAAGCGAAACGTTTAGGTTATGAAACATAACCTTGTGTTGTTAGAAAAACATTGCAATTTATCATATTTGTTTTCTTTTTGTAGATGTTATGAAAATAAGAGTAACGTATTTGTACAAAGAATATATATAAGATACGTATATCGACAAAAATGTAACGGTTACCTCTGTATTACACAATTAAGAATAGCTATCGTATCACGAATGTACATCCTCGCTCGCTAGTCCACACAGGGGTTCTCAAACAAAATGAATTTCGTCTAGCAGCGTGTATGGATTTATATTATATATGTAAATAGATAAATATCGTTTGATAAGAAAATATGGAGCAGCTATTGTTGATAGGATAGAACGAAAGAGCGGAGAAAGAAAATCGTGTGAGAAATTGATCGTGTCAATGTGAGAAGGGAAGACTTTGAAAAGACGCGAACTCATTAAAAAGGACGACAGTGTACCGATCGAGGATACTGTATAATAGTAAGATTTTTCAATATATTTATTCGTATGGACAAGTTGGAGCATAGTGCACAATATAATTAATATATAGTAGTCTGAGGAAGGGGTCAGATTACATTCTGGAGTTTGAACACAATATCTTACAATTTAACGACAAGATGCCTGCGTTTTTTTTTCTCTTGTATTTGCTTCTGTACGTAATGTTACTCGTATATTCATATATTCGAAGTGTATAATATATAAAGCGTAACGACTCACTATTTTTATCATTCTAAAAAAATGGAGACAAGAATACGGGTCCTTGTTTATTACGTTACGTTAATATTTCAGTCCATCTTATGTTGTCATTTAATTTATTTGTTTGAGGATTTTCGCAATGGATTATGCAACATCGTGGCAAATACGTAGTACTCGCTAGAATATATCCTTAGTCGGAGATTGTCTCCAATTGTAAATTATGACGTTTTTTTTTCTTTTTTTTTTTTTAATCTCGTTTACGTTGAGAGGAAGTATTAACAAGTCGGCATAAATCGGAGCGATGCTGATCCTGATGCAGGAAATCGAAACGACAATTGAACGTAGGAGCCGGTTTGAACCAAAACAGGAGAAAAGTTTAGACATAAAATATATGATCGTTGATCGTGATACGTGGTATAATTTATTGCCTGCAAAATGGGGGTTTCTTTCACGAGCATGATTCGAACGGGCAACGCAAGAAACGTGTCTACACGAGGAATTTGCTAACGTCTATATATCCGACCATTGGAGACAGCTCCTTTTTCTTCGCGTAATTAGCGATTAACAATCTATATTAAATTTTCGTTTAAAAGCAAATACACTTTACAGCCTATACAATCCATACAAGTTGATTTTCCATCCCTCGTTTGTTCTCGCTTAATTTTTTTTCCTTTTTCTTTTTCTCACTTTTTTTCCATTTAATCATTTTTTGTTTTTTTTTCTTTCTTTCTTTTCTTTAATATCCTCTACTCGAATTTAAGTTTTGTGGAGAGCGCAGGGCAGGTCCAGGTACTTAGGCTATCTGTATATTTTCATAAAAATTCGTCAAGATCTTCGGCTTTTTCCCTTTACTAGGATTCGCGTGTCGTTCGTCTCTGTTTTTTTCTTTTTATTTTTTATAAAAATCACAGCACAGCACCAGCATTTTTTTACTTTTTTTTTTTTTTTTTT